TGGCTAATTTTTGTATTTTTTTCTTTTTTTTTTTTTTTTTTAGAGATAGGGTTTCGCCATGTTGCCCAGGGTGGTCTTAGGCTGGGCTCAAGTGATCTGCCTGCCTCATCCTCTCAAAGTGCTGGGATTACAGGCATGAGCCACCGTGTTTGGCCCACATCAGTATTTATGTTGTTATAAATTTATGTATATGGAAAACCACCGGTTCACACCAATATGATTGATTCTAATCCAACTAGGATTCATTCTAGTTTTCACTCTTTCTGTATTTATAACTTTCTCCTCTGAAAGTGGGAAACCTGGCTCCTGTCATCAGCAGGCTGTTTACTTACAGTTCAGTCCCCTTAGATCATCACCTTCCGATCTTGGCTGTCCCCCACTCCGTGGTGGGCACCCTTCTTCCTCTGTACAGCCTCTGGCACTCTACGGCCACCCTGCGTGACCTCTGGCACTCTACGGCCACCCTGCGTGACCTCTGGCCCTCCCCCCACCTCCATGTTGACCCAGAGTGTGGCACCTTCCTCACTTGGCCTGGCCCTCCCTCTCCAACCCCCCATGTGCGGATGCCCTCGCCAGCCCGCCAGGGTGCTCCCCACGCCAGGCCAGCCCCTGCTCATGTGTACTCCCTTGCCCACCTTCCCACCTTGGGGACAAACACTTTATTTTTAATTACATTTGGAACCCTTGATTTATTATGCTGTTACTGCTGGCAGAAAATATGTCCTACGGAAATTATTGATAACCATCCATGGTGAAAAGAAAGCCTGTATTTATGAATTAGGTGCTTGGAATCAACTTCTCATTTTTGGCAGTCTCCTGGTTTGAGGGTTTAATGCAGCACTTACTCGAGGAAGGCAACATTTTTGTTTTTAGGTAAAAGGATAATATGATTTCTTTCCCCCCAATTTATTTATGAGACATAGGCATTATCCAAGTTGTAACCCTGTATTTCTATTATTTCAGTTTTGGCTTGACTCATGAATTTAAGGCAAAGCAATTTTAATATTAGTATTAAGCTATAATTCATATTTCAGGATATGCCGCTCGTGATTTTCTTCCTTAGCAATTCTTCTAGACATATTTTCTTTGTGTGTGTGCATGTTTTTAAGACACCCTCATTAAAAAAAATGGTAGGTACCTTTCAATCTCAAGACTAAAGATATTCTTGTTGATGTGTTTCGCTGAATGCTTTGCTGTTCTTCAGTGAGTTATGTTCTGGAATGTCATCATTTACAATGAATTTCACTTACTCCTTGGGTCTCCATGCAGAGGCAGAAGCAAGGTCTGTTTCCCTAAAGGGAGAAGAACCTTGTTCCTAAATCAGAGTGGTGTGATTTCCAGGGACCCTGGTTGGGTCATCTTCCCCTTAAGGGGAACATGTGGGGCTGTCCTTCCCCCAGCTTGTTTATGTTTGTGGAAAGAGTCACACTGGATTTGCTGAGGTCCAGAAAGCAGGAGAGAAAAGAGGCACTTCCCTGGCTCTTGTTCTTCCTCTGGGGAACAGACTGTGCCTGGGGGAGGAGAAGGGGTTGACACACCCCTGCTCGGTACAGCGGTTCCCATGCTGGGTCAGAAGCAGTGGGAGTCCCTGGCTCTGACAAGGGCCTTTCCACTTTCCCCAAGTTCAGTCCTGACGCTGCCCTCCAGGAGGCTCCTGTGTGCTGACAAGCCAGGGAGGGGGGCGGCCATCCTGGGCAAGGCACCTCCGTGGGGTGGGAGCTGGGGGTGCAGTGATGCTGCGAATTGGCTCATAGCAAACAAGGAGAGGAGGTGAAGGATCAAGATGCAGTATGTTTAGGCTAACAGGGCAGGAATGGGAAGTACACGAGTGGTAATGAGAAGACTTTTATGTATGTTTTCAGTGAAACCAAGGGGAGAGAGACTGTGGAGAGCTTGTTACATGCCAGTGAGTCATTTGAAATAAGATTCCAGGAAAGAATTATGGAGAGGATCTAGACAAAATATATACAACTGTAGAATACAAATGTAGTTTATAAACGATTCCAAGCATACCTTATGGGTAGATTATACAGGATGCAGCTTCATTCCAAAACTCCCCCTATAGTATCTGCCTGTGCTCCAAACTTGGACCCCATAATAAATTGTCATTTCTTTGTAGCTTAAGTCATCCCTTTTTGATAAATGCTATTGGTAATACAACAGTTCATTGGTCTTGAAAACATAGTACATGGCTTGGTGGAGATTTTAGGGGCCATCATTTCTTAATCTGTTTTCTTAAGGTCTTAAACACCTTCAAGTTTCTTACTCGTTGGTACTCATGTGTTCTCTGAGTTTGTGGGTAAACTGGTGATTCTTTATCTCTTAATATATCATTCCTCATGTTAATTGTTGGATGTCATTTGACTTAGGATGTTGAAAGCCAAAATAAAGCAGCGGGTCTGGAGCCTCAGGCCTTGGATGAGTTCACCAGTCTGCTGATTGCGGATGACACCCGTGTGGTGGTGGACCTGCTCAAGCTGTCGGTGTGCAGCCGGGCCGGGGACAGGGGCAGGGACGTGCTGTCTGCGGTGCTTTCCGGCATGGGGACTGCCTACCCGCAGGTGAGTCTCAGGGAGGGCTGGGCCGTCTGACCCTACCTCCTCCACATGGCGCCAACCTCCTCTCCAAGGGAGAGCAGCTGTGGATCACTGGTGATCTTGTGCTGGGTTTCATCCTAGTAGACAGCAGGTTAGGAGCACTCCTTTAGGACAAAACGTTTTAGCATTTACCCCAGTGACATCCTTTACCTGTTTTTTGTTGTTTGTTTTTTTTGAGACGGAGTCTTGCTCTGTCACCCAGGCTGGAGTGCAGTGGCGCGATCTCGGCTCACTGCAAGCTCTGCTTCCCAGGTTCACGCCATTCTCCTGCCTCAGCCTCCTCAGTAGCTGGGATTACAGGCGCCTGCCATCTCACCCGCTAATTGTTTTTGTATTTTTAGTAGAGACGGGGTTTCACTGTGTTAGCCAGGATGGTTTTGATCTCCTGACCTCTTGATCCACCTGCCTCGGCCTCCCAAAGTGCTGGGATTACAGGCGTGAGCCATCGTGCCTGGCCCCTTTACCTGTTTTACAACTGATTTGTGCATCTTTTTTTTTTTTTTGAGACGGGGTCTTACTCTGTCACCCAGGCTGGAGTGCAGTGGCGCGATCTCGGCTCACTACAACCTCCGCCTCCCGGGTTCACATCATTCTCCTGCCTCAGCCTCCTGAGTAGCTGGGACTACAGGCCCCCGCCACCACGCCCGGCTAATTTTTTTTGTGTTTTTTAGTAGAGACGGGGTTTCACGGTGTTAGCCAGGATGGTCTCAATCTCCTGACCTCGTGATCCACCCGTCTCGGCCTCCCAAAGTGCTGGGATTACAGGCGTGAGCCACCGCACCCGGCCTGATTTGTGCATCTTTTAAAAAATGATTCGTCAGAGTTCTTTAAGTCCCTTTTCTATCATGTGTCTTACAGTTTCCACCCCAGTTTATCTTTCATTATTAGTTTGATATTTTTTTGCCATGTAGAAATTTTTAATTATTACATGATCAAATCTGTCGGTTTTTTTCATTTATGCCTTCTGAGTTTTGTATTATGCTGAAAAAAAAATGCTCGCTTATGTGACATTGTTTTAAATAAATTTTTCCAAATTTTCTTCCAAGTTTTTTGAGACAGTTTCTCCTTCACCAGGGCTGGAGTGCGGTGGTGCGATCTCGGCCTCCCGGGATCACCTCTGCCTCCCGGGATCAAGTGATTCTTGTGCCTCAGCTCCCCGAATGGCTGGGATTACAGGCGTGCTTCGACGCCTGGCTAATTTTTGTATTTTTAGTTGAGATAGGGTTTCACCATGTTGGCCCAGCTGGTCTCCAACTGCTAACCTCAAGTGATCCACCTACCTCAGCCTTCCAAAGTGCTGGGATTACAGGCATGAGCCACCGCGCCCGGCCTTCTTCTAAGTTTTTTATGATTTCATGTATTGTTTACATTTTTTAGGCACCTGGGATTTATTTTGATGTAAGAATAAAATAGGGATCCAACTTTATTTTTTTCCTAGATGATAAGCGTTGCCCTAACATCATTTATTGAACAATTCTTCTTTTCCCTGGTGATTTAAAAACCAGTTTTATCATATTCTAAATTTCTGTGTGCATTTGGGTCTATTTACAAAACTTTTTAGACTCTAATACTATGGTATTTTAACTATTATAGCTTTAAAATGTTTTTAATGTTTGGTAGCACTGGGTCCCTAGGACTTTGTCCCTGTGGAAATGTTCTGGACAGGAGCCATCTGGGACTGTTGGCACCAGCCACGTATGACATGAGCACTGAGATATGGCTAGTGCACCTGAGGAACCAAAGGGTTTAAAACACTCAACTTGAGGCACATGTGGCTAGTAGCTGTTGAACTGGTCTGTAGGTCTGCAGTATAAAGTGAGTATCTTATTACTATGTCTTAGAAATAGGACTGATCAGTCCTAAAGGCTGTGGACTTCCTTAAGAACTCAATCAGCAGCCGTGCTCTGCCCTGCCAGGGAGCCTGAGATGTCCTTCCTGGCTACAGATACTTCATCCCTTTCTCTGGGTGGCCACTTTGTGTGGAGGAAAGTCTTACTCTGTCACTTAGTTTAGGCAGTTTCTGTGCCTATTATGATTTTTGGCTTTAGTTAGAAGAATATTCTCTTTAAAGGAACTTCTAAAGTTTTTAAGTAGAATTAGATTTTTTAAAAAAATCATTAAATGCAAGTTCATAGTCCTTTATCTACAATTCTGGAACGTTAAAGCTTCTGATAGTCAGAAATGTTAGTAACTTACATGATCACCAAAATGATAAAGCACTTAAGTAGAGCTGAGCAGTCTTGAAAGCACAGCAAAGGTTTGGCAGATATTTTAGGGGCTTGTTATTTCTTCATCTGCTATTCATGAAGAACTAAAAAGCTATAGGTTTCCTTTTTTCTAGTTTTTTGAGATGAGTTACTTGGCATAATTCTAAGAGATGAAATCGAGGTGAATTGCCATAAGCACTGTTATTATTTTTCATAAGTTTATTGCATTTGTGAGAGGGAAGGGTATGAATGAGAACTTCAATTTAAAATAATTCTGAGCCTTTGCCATGCACGTCCCGCATTCTCAGTACAGAGGGTAGGGGTTACCTTTATATATGGATGAGGAAACTGAGGCTGAGAGGTTGTTACGGCTTGAGGACACTTACTTTGCTGGTAGGTGGAAGAGATGGGTTGGAACCCTGAGTGCTCTGAGCCCCAGCTCTGTCATGACCCCTCTGCAGATGATGCCTTTGGCAGAGCAGCCTTTGAAGGCCAGAGCCCCTGGTCAGCTCTGCCCACGGGCGCTTGATGATGCTGACATCTGCTTTCAGTAACTCAACCAGGTTCCAGGAGAGACAGGAATAAGGATACGGCCGTTTTCATGCTTCCCTTGCCAGGTTGGCAAGATGGCTATTTCTGTGTCCTGCCCTAACCTGATATTTGGGATTCAGAGAGAGAAATTTAGATTTTAAATCATGCCTATGTGACAGTGGTATTAGTTTGTTATTAATATATAATAATATGTTTACTAAGCAAAGCTATTTCTTACCTACATATGAGGAAAAATAGAAAAAAGAATTATCTATTTCTAAAAAGTATAGAATGGGCATTAGAAGAGTTTTATTTTTTTCTGGATTAAAAATTTTGGGGTTAATAGATTATTGCTATTATGACATACTCTCTCATTTATTTTTAGAAATAACAGAGGTTATAATCACCACTCTTAACCTTAATTGTAAAAGGTTACAATTGGTGATTGTGAATCACCAATAATTTTTAAAATAAAATAAGAACACTGTGGATTGTTGAGAATGTGGTGTGGGTCTGACCCCTAGTGTACTGGGTCAGGAGGGGCAGCCGTGTTGGGGTCGGTGGTCCCTCCTGTCACAGACTCTCTGTCTGGCCTGGGCGGCTTGATGGTTCCTGATTCCTGCCCCTCCCACCGGGCTCTGTTGCTTTCTGGGATTGTGGTCATTTTCACCTACTGGGTGCTCCTTCCCTTGATAGTTTTGTTTCCAAGGCCAACTTTCCTCACTAGGAAGTGATCGTGTCTTGGTGTGAAATGAAGCCGTTGTTAGCACGGTGTTTCATCTGATCAGCTGGCACATGTTAAGTGTTGTGTGTGTTGGGAGCCTTCCAACTACTTTTTTTTTCTTTTCTTTTCTTTTCTTTTTTTTTTTTTTTGAGACAGAGCCTCTCTCTGTCCATCAGGCTGGAGTGCAGCGGCGCATTCTTAGCTCTGCAACCTTCACCTCCTGAGTTCAGGCGATTCTCCTGTCTCAGCCTCCTGAGTAGCTGGGACTACAGGCATTTTTAGTTTGTATTTTTAGTAGAGGTGGGGTTTCACCACATTGGCCAGGCTGGTCTCGAACTCCTCATCTCAAGTGATCTGCCTGCCTCAGCCTCCCGAAATGCTTGTATTACAGGCATGAGCCACTGCACTGCACCCAATGACTTTTTTTTTTTTTTTTGAGACACAGTCTTGCTTGGGTCACCCAGGCTGGGGTGCAATGGTGCGATCTCGGCTCACCACAACCTCCGCCTCCCGGGTTCAAGCGATTCTCCTGCCTCAGCCTCCTGAGTAGCCAGGATTACAGACGTGCGCCACCATGCCTGGCTAATTTTGTATTTTTAGTAAAGATGGGTTTTTTCCGTGTTGGCCAGGCTGGTCTTGAACTCCCGACCTCAGGTGGTCTGCCTGCCTCGGCCTCCCAAAGTGCTGGGATTACAGGCATGAGCCACCAGGCCTGGCCCCAACGACTTTTTAATATAGATCATCTCTAAGCTTCACAGCACCTTTCAAGCTCTGTGCTGTCTCTGTTTTATGTGCAAGGAAGCCAAGCCCTGCTTTGAACTCCGTTTCTCAAACTTCAAGCCCTCCAGTCTGCCACCCTGTCCTTGGAGCTCTGGAGCAGGACGGACAGAGGCGGCGCGCAGGTGACCAGGTGCGGCATTGTCGGCCTCTTCGTTCATGTCCTCGCTTCCTCTCCAGGTGGCAGATATGCTGTTGGAGCTCTGCGTCACCGAGTTGGAGGACGTGGCCACAGACTCGCAGAGCGGCCGTCTCTCTTCTCAGCCTGTGGTGGTGGAGAGCAGCCACCCTTACACCGACGACACCTCCACCAGCGGCACCGTGAAGATACCAGGTACGGGGCCGGCCCCAGGGAGGAGCTGCAGCGTTTCCGCCTTCAGAACGGTGTGATTCTCTAATTGCTTCAGTAGAAACAGCCGTCTCCGTTTTATAAAAAGAAGATACAGAATTGCTTCAGAATCACTTTTCTCCCCTTTCCTAAGAAACTTCTTTTGCACAATAAATCATACAGAAAGTCACACAAAGTAAATGTTTAGCGTCATGATAATCAGGCAGACGCCCTAGTCATCATGACCCAGGTCTAGACGTCACCTGTGGCAGATTCCGGAAGCCCTCAGCCTGTCCCCTGACGTCCCTCTGAGTGATGCTGTCCTGACGTTGAGCCATCACTGACTTGCATTTCTGGGCAGCTTCTGTTATCCGTGTGTGTATCTTTCTTTTCTTTTTAACAACTCAAGAAAAATTATTAAGAAGAAAATTGTTGAGGCCCTGGCCTTTGATCCAGCAGACTTCTCTGCAGCCTGAATCTCCTGACTGGACACGCGTGCTGCTGTTCAGTGTCTTCCTCAGGCCCGTCCTTCTGCAAAGTGCTGCCTGATTCGGAGGCCCATAAGTTCCGCCCCTTTCGCCAGCTCCTTAGTGGCTGTGACTCAGCCCCCGCAGGCCCCTCCCACCTGCCTGTGTTTCTTTTGTGACATCAGCAGCCCCTGGGGCTTATTAGCACCCGAGGCCGTTGGCCCACGATGGGCTACAAATGGTACTATTCTGGTGGAATCATCTCTTGCTTATTTATTAGCTGGAATACTTTCTTATAAAGAGACATTTCCCCTCATCCTATAGTTGGTTGCCCAAAGTGCTGTTTGCCTGAGAAAGACAAAAGCTTGATTCTTCCTTCTGTTGACCAGAGAATGAATTGGTTTCCTATCATTTCTTTTTTTTTTTTGAGACGGAGTCTCGCTCTGTCACCCAGGCTGGAGTGCAGTGGCCGGATCTCAGCTCACTGCAAGCTCCGCCTCCCGGGTTTACGCCATTCTCCTGCCTCAGCCTCCCGAGTAGCTGGGACTACAGGCGCCCGCCACCTCGCCTGGCTAAGTTTTTGTATTTTTAGTAGAGACGGGGTTTCACCGTGTTAGCCAGGATGGTCTCGATCTCCTGACCTCGTGATCCGCCCGTCTCGGCCTCCCAAAGTGCTGGGATTACAGGCTTGAGCCACCGCGCCCGGCCTTCCTATCATTTCTTGAAGGTGACCTTTTTTTTAAAAATATTATTATGAACTCATGGATTGAAACATATGTGATCGTTTTACTTTATTGTGATTATCTTTGTTAAAGCTGAGATTATCCTGTTTCTAGACAGTGGCAGCCTCTTCAGTGTGGCTCCTGAAGTGATTCCGGTGGTCTTTGGTAGCGTCCAGGCAGTCTAAACATGGTGACCTTGGTTTTTTGTAGGTTGCCACTCTTCACCTGGGATCTGCCCTGGATTCTTTTGAGTTCGTACTGATACTTAAAAATGTTTTCCTTTTATTTATTTTTTATATTTTATTTATGTATTTATTTGTTTAGAGACAGGATCTTGCTCTGTCACCCAGGCTGGAGTGCAGAGTGCAGTTATAGCTCACTGTAGCCTCGAATTCCCGGGCTCAACTGATCCTCCTGCCTCAGCCTCCTGAGTAGCTAGGAGTACAGGCGCGTGCCACCTCGCCTGGCTAATGTGCTGATTCCTTCTACTCAAATTCAAAAGTACAAGGTCTGTACTTCTGTTACATCTGCCTCTCTTTTCTTCCATATCGAATCCTGGTTCCAAGATACTGTTTGATAAAATATCTCGTGATTTTTCATTTGCTTTATGTAACCACATTGCATATATGACAGACTTAGGATATAATTTCTTTTCTTTTTTTTTTTTTTGAGACGGAGTCTCGCTATGTCGCCCAGGGTGGAGTGCAGTGGCCGGATCTCAGCTCACTGCAAGCTCCGCCTCCCGGGTTTTTACGCCATTCTCCTGCCTCAGCCTCCCGAGTAGCCGGGACTACAGGCGCCCACCACCTCGCCTGGCTAGTTTTTTTTTTTTTGTATTTTTTAGTAGAGACGGGGTTTCACCGTGTTAGCCAGGATGGTCTCGAACTCCTGACCTCGTGATCCGCCCGTCTCGGCCTCCCAAAGTGCTGGGTTACAGGCTTGAGCCACCGCGCCCGGCCAGGATATAATTTCAATACTGCCAACATCAGTATAATTACTGAAATTCTTAAAAATCTTAGAATATGCCCTAATTTCCTCAAATTTATTAAAATGATTATACTGCATCTACAAGAGCATAATAGCTGTTACGTACCATACTTTCTTTCAGTCTTCAAGTCTTAGTTTTACTGACTGGTCCTTGTGGTGTCTGAAGTGCACTCTACTGAATTCCTCATTAGCCCCTGAGGTCAGACTTATCCACGAGAGTTTTTGTCCTTTGAATTTGAAAGGTAGTTTTTCTGGGTGTTAAAGCCTTGGGTCACGTCTTTTTCCTCTGTGAAAATGTGAAAATGATAACATCTTTTCCCCTTAGAAGTCACGTGTGTTTTTTCAGTCATTTTATTAGAATGTACGTTCGTGTGGCCATTCTTGGCGATGTTCTCGGTTAGAAGCCATGTGTGTTTTCTCGGTAATTCTACTAGAACGTACATTCATGTGGCCGTTCTCGGTGATGTTCTGGGTTAGAAGCTGCGTGTGTTTTCTCGGTAATTCTACTAGAAGGTGCGTTTGTGTGGCTGTTCTTGGCGATGTTCTCAGTTAGAAGTCACGTGTGTTTTCTCAGTAATTTTACTAGAATGTGCGTTCGTGTGGCCGTTTGGTGAAAAGCCGCTTGTGTTTTCTTGTTAATTTTACTAGAATGTGCATTTGTGTGGCCGTTGTTGGCGATGTTCTTGGTTAGCAGCTGCGTGTGCTTTCTTGGTAATTTTACTAGAATGTGCGTTTGTGTGGCCGTTCTCGGCGATGTTCTTGGTTAGAAGCCGCGTGTTTTCTTGGTAATTTTACTAGAATGTGCATTCTTGTGGCCGTTCTGTACTAGAATGGGTGTTTGTGTGACCATTCTTGGTGATGTTCTCGGTTAGAAGTCACAGTGGCTGTTCTCAGCGATGTTCTTGAGAAATCGTGTGTGCTTTTTCAGTAATTTTACTAGAATTCGTTCATGTGGCCGTTCTTGGCGACGTTCCTGGTTAGAAGTTGCATGTGTTTTTTTGGTAATTTTACTAGAAAGTGCGTTCATGTGGCCATTCTCGGTGACATTCCCGGTTAGAAGTTGCCTGTGTTTTTTTTGGTAATTTTACTAGAATATGCATTCATGTGGCCATTCTCGGCGATGTTCCCAGTTAGAAGTTGTGTGTGTTTTTTCGGTAATTTTACTAGAATGTGCATTCGTGTGGCTGTTCTCAGTGATGTTCCCAGTTGGCCGTTCTCGGTGATGTTCCCAGTTAGAAGTTGTGTGTGTTTTTTTGGTAATTTTACTAGAATGTTTGTGTGGCCGTGTGTTTTTTCAGTAATTTTACTAGAACGTGCATTCGTGTGGCCGTTCCCGGTGATGTTCCCAGTTAGAAGTCTTGTGAGTTTTTTTGGTAATTTTACTAGAATGTGCATTAGTGTGGCCGTTCTCGGTGATGTTCCCAGTTAGAAGTCTTGTGAGTTTTTTCGGTAATTTTACTAGAATGTGCGTTTGTCACATGTTCTCAGTGATGTTCCTGGTGAGAAGCCGCATGTGTTTTCTCGGTGATTTTACTAGAATGTGCGTCCGTGCAGCCGTTCTCGGCGATGTTCTTGGTTAGAAGCCGTGTGTGTTTTCTTGGTGATTTTACTAGAAATGTGTGTCTGCACGGCCATTCTTGGTGTTCTCTGCGAGAAGCCGCATGTGTTTTTTCGGTGATTTTACTAGAATGTGCCTTCGCGCGGCCGTTCTTGGTGACGTTCTCGGGTAAGTGGTGCTCCTTTAGTCTGTTGTCCCAAGTCTGTTTTGTAATTCTCTTGAATTGCAATCTGCAGTGTTTGTTCTGTAACCTTGCTTAGCAGTCTTTTCTAGGGACACTTGGTCCCTAGAAAACTATCCATGCATTGGATAGTTCATGACTTTTAGAGTTAATGTTGGTTACTTTCTCTTTCAAGTACCTTTTACCTCTGTTTCTTTTTAAACAAATTTCTCCTTTTTTCCTATTTTCCTTAAGGTAACATCTGCTGTATTTATTTTACACTCTGTTTTAGTCTCCATTGGAATGTAGTTTTGTTTTCATTGTAATTCTGTCTTCAGCTTTATTTAATTTTTTTGGTTTTCCTGTCTGATTTATGTGGTTCTTTCATGTCTTGTATCATTTTTCTAATTTCACTCTGTTTGTTTTGAAATGATCAGGATTGATGTGTTTTGTGGGCATATCTTTCTGGCCTGCTTTTATTGCCTATAGGGATGTTATTTTGTTCCTTATTCTCGCTGTTTTTTTTCTGGAGACAGAGTCTTGCTCTGACACCCAGGCTGCAGTGCAGTGGCATGATTCTGACTCACTGCAGCCTCGACCTCCCAGGCTCAAGCCATCCTTCCCCATCAGCCTTCTGAGAAGCTGGGACTACAGGCTTGTGCCACCACGCATGGTTAACTTATTTTTATTTTTCGCGGAGACGAGTCTCTCTGTGTTGCCCAGTCTTGTCTCAAATTCCTGGGCTCAAGCGATTCTCCCAGCTGGGCCTCCCAAAGTGTTGAGAATTACAGGTGTGAGCCACCGTGCCCAGCCTATTCCCTTTTTCTTACAATAACTTTTTATTGTATTTGGTCTTATACTTTTATCTTGCTCATTTTTATGTGAAATAATTTTTCTTGAACTTTTAGAATGAGGTGAGATTCAGAAAAGCTTTGTCACTTTGTCGCCCAGGTTGGGGTACAGTGGTACGATCTTGGCTCACTATAGCCCCAACCTCTGGACTCAAGCGATCCCCCTTCCTTAGCCTCCTGAGTAACTGGGACTATAGGCCGTGTCCAGCTAATTTTAAAAATTTTATATAGAGAAAGGATTTCACCATGTTGTCCAGGCCTGTCTTGAACTCCTGAGCTCAAGCAAGCTGGCTGCCTTGGTCTCCCAAAGTGCTGGGATTACAGGCGTGTACCACTGCCTCTGGCCCAGAAAAGCGTTTTTAAACTTTAAGTATTACTTCATGATGGAAATTTAAAGAACAAAGGATATTCCTAGTCAACATTTGCCTAGACGAAAATCTTGTGACCCTTTTTCTTTCTGTTTCTCTCTCACTTTATATCCAGTCCACCAACAAATCATGTTTTCTCTGCTTTTTAAAATATATTCCAAATTCACCCATTTCTCCCTCACTCTAGACATTCTGGGCTAGAGCACCATGGGGTCTCACCTGGTTATCATCCCAGCAGTCACATCCTAGCTGCCTCCCTGTATTCCTGCTTCCACTCCCCACCTCCTGTGGTCTCCCCAGAATCAGGCCCCAACAGAGCATCCAGAGATAGTGTTTTAAAACCAGTCCGAGCCTCTCAACCCTGTAACCGTAGGAGGGAACCTGAGCCCCTGCTCCACATCTTTCCTCCTTCCTTCCTTCCCCGCCTACCTCTTTCCTGGCCCCTCACTGCCATCCTCTGCTAGACCTTAAAGATCTTCCAGCCTGAAGGAAAACTCTTGTACCTCTGCTTGCACACCTCTCACACCAGACATGCGTGTTCTCCACACCAAGCAAATCTCCAGTTCTCTGGACACGCCAGGAGTTGAGGTGCTCCTCACTCCCCAGGTGACCCACAACTGCCGTCTGACTGGGCTGCACTTTGGGCATTCCCGCAGCCCCTGGTCAGTGTGAGGTTCGCTGTAAAGCTTGATCGGGGAGTGGGGTTGCAGTGGGAAAGTCTGCCCAGGAGTGACAGCACAAAACAAATTGGCCAAGTGGAAGTGTTTTCTGGCCTTGCAGTCCACAGACATAATCTTCAGTGGGGATGAGCTGGGGAAAGGGGCGGTCAGTCTGAGATGCTTGTATTTGAGGCCAGTTCTTTCTGACTTTCTGCTGTTCATTCACTGTTAAACGTGGTTTTAGTTTCACTGTTTCTCCTTGGTGCACTGTTTCTACTTTGGGTGCTGATCTGAAGTGGTTGCTATGTTTTGTGTTCTGTCCTCCAGGTGCAGAAGGACTCAGGGTGGAATTTGACCGGCAGTGCTCCACGGAGAGGCGCCACGACCCTCTCACAATCATGGATGGCGTCAACAGGATTGTCTCCGTGCGGTCAGGTAAGGACAGGAGGTTGAGCCAGGATTGTCTCCATGCGGTCAGGTAAGGACAGGAGGTTGAGCAGGGCATCATCTGCCCACCTGTGTCTCCGCAGACACAAACCTTCACATTTGTAGGACAGAATGCTGCTACTGTATTCTCATGGAAGTCTTGAGGAAGGGACAAAACGCTATTCAGCTGTGAAACACAGTAGGTTTGCTTGCCTCTTCCCCATACTTTTAAATACAGTAATTATCTGTGATATGTGCACCTTATCCCTGTCGGATGGGCTCTGCCTCACCAGACAGTTGCAGAAGGTGCTGGAGATGTGTGGGGTGCCAGGGCTCGTGCGAGGTCGTGGTTGGCATACTGCAGAGCTTCTTCAAGGGGTTTGTTTCTTACGGCTACAGTGAGGGCGTGGCCATGTGTGGAGTGACTTCTGTATGTAGATGGAGGCAGCCACGTGTCTGGCTTGTCTCTGCTACTAGGCTCCATGAGGCCAGCGGGCGCAGATGAGGACATCTGGGGGGGTTTGTGAAATGCTGTTTTACCGAGTATTTTAGAATTGGCAGTGCAGGGGTGTGTTTGCACCTTTTGAGACCTCTTTGTCCTTCATCTCAAGTGTTTCCTGTAAAGGGCCGGGTAATGCAGCCTGTGTCATAACAACATGTAGACTGGATGCCCGTGAGTGGGTGTGGCTGTGTCCCAGGAAAGCTTTATTCACACGTCATTACTTAGGTAAAGCTTTGCATGAAGTGGTCTGGTCCTGGTGGGCGTGGGTTTTTCTGGTGCTTTGACAGATGTCTGCCAGTGTAGTTTTCAGCAGTGTTGTTGGATATGACAGTTTTTCTGCGTCCAGCAGAAAGTCCTTATGGGCCATCCCTGAGCTGCTGCCAGATGGTCCTTCTGAAGCAGAAATCGAGCGGGGTTCTCTTGGCCTTCTGAGATGCTGTAATGCACCACCGCTCCTGTCCACAGCAGCCAGGCCCTCTGTTCCCTCGAGGGCGACCCCCTCTGGGCCGTGCTGAGCCACACACATGGGCCCTTTGTTGGGACAGCTAGGGTTCTTCCTTCTGCTGCCTGGCCACCTGGTTGTGTCAGAGCTTTCCCGGGGAACGTCCCCATGGCCCCTGGCCTGGTGTGTGCTGGAGACCCGGAGGCCACTCACTGTATCCTGGCTGTGTGGGGTCGTTTCCCCACTGGGTGGTGGCTTCTGCCAGGGCAGTGCCTCCTGCCTGCCCTGTTTCCTGGGTACCTGGTACAGGGGCTGAATGAGTGTTTGCTGAAGAATGGTATGTATGAAGATGTGAATCCCAAGAGTGATGTGTCACTGTACACTTCAGCTTGGGAGAGCTTGGATTGGAGGAACTAGCTCTTCACACGTGACAGAAATCCTGCTTTGTGTCTAAGGAGGTTTGTGTTGATTGGATGGTGGGGTGAAGCTAACCCCGGGGTGCACTTTCCTCCTCTAGGCCGAGAGTGGTCCGACTGGTCCAGTGAGCTGCGCATCCCGGGGGATGAGTTAAAGTGGAAGTTCATCAGCGATGGGTCTGTGAATGGCTGGGGCTGGCGCTTCACCGTCTATCCCATCATGCCAGCTGCTGGTAAGGGAGGGGCTTCTGGCGATCAAGGTTAGATGACCGGCTGTGGATTGTTTTTGGAGCGACACGGACGCGTGCACATTTCCACGTAGTGCCTGACGGCCTGCCTTCTGCTGTGTTGGAGTGAGTGCTCCCACAGGCCCCACTGAGGCGTGGAACAGAACACAGA